TGGCGGCGGCGCTGGCGGTGGCGGCGGCCGAGGGCCCCAACGCGAGCGGCGCGGGTGACGGGGGTAGTGGCCGGGGCGCCAACACCTCGGTCCCCGCCTGGGGGCCGCCGCCCGGCCAGTACTCCGCAGGTGCCGTGGCGGGGCTGGCGGCCGTGGTGGGCTTCCTCATCGTTTTCACGGTGGTGGGTAACGTGCTGGTGGTGATCGCTGTGCTGACCAGCCGAGCACTGCGCGCCCCGCAGAACCTCTTCCTGGTGTCGCTAGCCTCGGCTGACATTCTGGTGGCCACGCTGGTCATGCCCTTTTCGCTGGCCAACGAACTCATGGCCTACTGGTACTTCGGGCAGGTGTGGTGCGGGGTGTACCAGGCCCTGGACGTACTCTTCTGCACGTCGTCCATCGTGCACCTGTGCGCCATCAGCCTGGACCGGTACTGGTCGGTGACGCGGGCGGTGGAGTACAACCTCAAGCGCACTCCGCGCCGCGTCAAGGCCACCATCGTGGCCGTGTGGCTCATCTCGGCCGTCATCTCCTTCCCGCCTCTAGTCTCTTTTTACCGCCGGCCGGAAGGCGCCGCCTACCCGCAGTGCGGCCTCAACGACGAGACCTGGTACATCCTGTCCTCCAGCATCGGCTCCTTCTTCGCACCCTGCCTCATCATGGGCCTGGTCTACGCCCGCATCTACCGCGTGGCCAAGTTACGCACGCGCACGCTCAGCGAGAAGCGCACCCCCGCGGGCCCCGACGGCGCGTCCCCGACTACGGAGAACGGGCTGGGCACGGCGGCGGGAGAGAACGGGCACTGCGCGCCCCCGCGCGCCGAAGTGGAGCCTGATGAGAGCAGTGCCGCGGAGAGGCGCCGGCGCCGGGGCGCGCTGCGGAGAGGAGGTCGGCGGCGCGCGGACGTCGAGGGGGACCCGGGTGGCGCGGATGGGCCCGGGCCTGGGCTGGCGGCCGAACAGGGGGCGCTGGCGGCGTCGCGGTCCCCGGGCCCCGGAGGACGCCTGTCCCGCGCCAGCTCGCGCTCCGTCGAGTTCTTCCTGTCGCGCCGGCGCCGTGCGCGCAGCAGCGTGTGCCGCAGGAAGGTGGCCCAGGCGCGGGAGAAGCGCTTCACCTTCGTGCTGGCCGTGGTCATGGGCGTGTTCGTGCTGTGCTGGTTTCCTTTCTTCTTCAGCTACAGTCTGTACAGCATCTGCCGCGAGGCCTGCCAGCTGCCGGACCCGCTGTTCAAGTTCTTCTTCTGGATCGGCTACTGCAACAGTTCGCTCAACCCGGTTATCTACACCGTCTTCAACCAGGACTTCCGGCGGTCTTTCAAGCACATTCTCTTCCGAAGGAGGAGAAGGGGCTTCAGGCAGTGACCCCTCCCACCCCCGAGCTTCCGGACTGCACTGACTACCGGCAGGCAGAAGGGCCCGGCCTCCCCCAAAGTCCAGGGTGTGGCAGGACTCCAGGGCGCGGCCAACAGAAGGTGGGCCAGATACACCTGGGCCCCAGGGAGTAGGGGGAGAAAGGGGAGACCCCTTTGCCTTCCTGTCTCAGCAAGGGGCTGGGGTATAGATCCAGTTTCTGAGGTCGCTGCTGTGGAGAGTGGCTGTGAGGTTAGGGTTTTAGATGGCAGAGGGCTTGCAACCCTCAAACTGGTGAGAAGGGAGGCCCCCAAACTCCCACCTCATGTTCCCTGTGAACAGGGGCTGACTCTCCCTGACCTAAAAAAGGCATCTGTCTTGGGGAGGGGAGGGGAGGAGAAAGAGGGCACTGACAATCTCTGATTACTGAGAGTATTTAAATGTTTGCCAAAAACAACGACAGCCAAAACAACCAAACTATTTTCTAAATAAACCTTTGTAATCTGTGTTGGGTGCAGCCTCGGTCCTTAAGCCTGGGTGTGGGGGAACTCTCCAGACCTTCCTCTGAGTCTCCCCCCCAAAACACACTGCAGTATGAAAGAGGGTTTGGGGGGTTCAAGTTCCAACTGCCCCTTTCACATGAGGAAGAGAGGGACTTAAAAAAAAAACTAAATGCTTTGTATACGTGCAAAATATGTACTCAAAACTCTTCTGTAAGCGGCTACCTGGCAAAGGAATGGAGGGCCCCAAGCTGATTCCAAATTTAGATCCTGGGGGGTGTCCTCCCTGCATTCCATCCCTCCTCTGCCTGGGCATCCACCCTCTGAGGAGTTCTGGGCAGTGCTGGACACCCTCTGTTCTTCCCTCTTCAAGTGGATAGGGTGGGATGAGATCTGTCCCAAGAAGTTCCTCCCATGGACAGGATGGAGTTGTGGCCCAGTCAGGCCTCCAACTGCTACTCCAGCCTGAAAACCTTTGCCTGCTGGGTGGTCAGAGTGAGCTGCACAGACTCTACCAGAGATTGCTTCTGAACCAAAGCCAAGGCCATTGTGACCTAGAGCATAGAGAACCTGCTGCAGGGTCAGGAGGCACTGGATCCTGCATGTCCCCTTCCCCCAGGGGCTTCTCTCAGTCCTGCCCAGCTTGACCCTTTGCTCAGCCCTTACTCCCCACAGCATAAAGTACTCTAGGAGGCCTCCCCATTACGGGGCCAGGACCCCATGGGCTCTCCCATGTGTCAGGGCCTGGAAGCTCCCAGGGTAGCTTGTGGGGAGGGTTGGTAGTAGGACCTGGGCATGGGGCAGAGGTTTCCCCAATACCCATGGTCCACCACCATTTGGGTGGGATGGAGGTGCTCTTGTCAGGAATCCCTACTGTGACCAGCCTGCATCCCTCCTGTGGACCCACCCCACTCCTCATCAGTCTTTGGTTTGGCATGTACCCAAATCTGGCCCGGGAGGTGCAGCCTGAGTCTTTCCTGTCATCTGCAAGCCCCTGTCCCAGAGTCAGACACCAGGCAGGCCCTTTCTGGGCTGAACTGCTAATGCTGTCTCTTGGCTGCTTGGCTTCATCGTTCACTGGGATACTCAAGTACCCTGCCTGAGAGCACGACTCTACCTTCGCTTTACAAGGTAACACCTCTGCTGTGTGCTGGGCTCGGGCCCAGGTCGAAGAAACAGCCTGGAGTGGTGAGAGGTGCTGAAGTGGCTGGCTGGGCCCATCTGACCTGAGCTCTCAGTGCAGGCCTGGGCAGCAGGGCCTTGGCTTTTTCCCGGCCTCACACAGCGAAGAGGGAGGTCTGCGTGATGCCAGCATGGTCCAGGTGCATACAGTCAGTGGCGCAGGGTAACCTCACCTGTGAGGTGACCCAGCTGATCCCACTGGGAAGATGGAGGTGCCCAGGGGCTCTCTTTTATCTGTATAGAAAGGCCTCCCCAGCCCAGGGCCTCAGAATTGTTGTTAGATCTAATCTGCATCTCCAAACTTGCAGGATGGGCCCCAGAGTATTGGTGAGATGAGGAGGCAGTCTCCTTCCTCCTACACTCAGCAACTCCAGATTCAACCCGAGACACCTTTGCCTTGAGCAGAGTGACATTTTTGGAGCCTATGAGTATTGTTATGGTCACATTTCATGAGGCTCAGAGAGGTGACTAAACCTGTCTGGAATCACACAGCTAGCCATAAGATCCAGACAGGGTCTGGGTCCCCTGGCTCTAAATTCAATCATATTCAAATAATTTGGTTGTAGGGAACATCATCCTCCCACAGAGGAGGAAGGGACCAGGCAGGGGTCCATCCTCCATAGGAAAGGCAGTTGTGTTTTATGAAATTGAGTCCTGGTGGTGTGGGGAGGGGAGAAGAGACAGTGGGAGACTGAGATGGGCTGGGTGCTGGGCTGAAGACGCAGAGACCTCCTTAGCTTGGGGGAACTTTTATTTGAGCTCTAGAGAGACTGCAAAGTCCTCAGAGGACAGAGCTGTTCTGTCACTCAAATCTGGGTGGTCTGAAACTGTCACCTGTGAGCTCCCAGGGCCCCTGGGTATAGTGTTATCCCCAGCAAGGCCTCCTAGGTTTTAGCTCTGCAGATACAGTGGGAGCTCTGCTGGGGCTCCCAACAAACCCTGTTCTTTTTGCTTTCCTAATCCCAGGAACAGTGCTTTGGGCTCTGGCTTGTGCCCCACCCAGCGGGCAGCTGTTTCACTCACAGGATCGATGCCTGGAGAGGCTGCTCTGCAGCTGCCTAAACAGACAAGTCTGCCGCAGGGACACGGGCTCCGCCTTGTGCACGTCTCCAGTCTTCGAGGATGAGGTGGGGTGCTGACTTCTCCCTGGGATGTTGTGAGCCCCGACTGTTCTCACACACAGTGCTGCTGTGTGGAGGAAGAGCCTCTTGACCTTCCCACTAACTGCAGTTGGGCCAGCCGCCCCATGTCCTCACGTGGTTGCCTTTGTCTTTATGGACCTGGTCTTAGTCTGCTACCTCCATTTCCATGTCTCTTTAACAGAGCCAGAATTGCCAGTCTCTGTCAATGGTTGAAGAGATGGAGGCCCAAAGGTGACTGTGTCCCAGCACCCTACAGTGATGGGAGAGAGAGAAATAGAAGCCATGAAACTGGACTTCCCAGCTGCAGAGAGCCTGGGTTCTGAACCCCTGATCCAGCACCATGGATGACATCAGATGTGACTCTGGACCTTAGAAGAGAAACTGATTACTTAGCCTACAGGAAGAGTTCATCAAAACCAACGGAAGTCACCCCAGAAGGTGAAGGAGGGCAGACCCTAAGTGCAGGGTGCTGAGTGTGGGGTGCTTAGGTCTCCCTGCCTGTCCAGTTGGGCAGATGCAGCCTGCCGCACACACACAGGTCTACTTAACCTGGATGCAGTTGCTCAGTTGGTAAAAGGGGAAAAGATAATCCCAGTATCCCCTTACGGCTCAGGATGGAATCCAAAAGAACGGCTCCCTTGGAGCGGGCGGGATTGGTGATACTGTACCAGCAGCTCAGATCTCTGGAGCCCCGCCCCCAGGGTTGGGGTGAAGGACAGGGGGTACGCTGCCCTGGCACCTGCTGGTGAGGAAGCTGTCCTTACCTGAGCACTGGCAGCAGCTGTATTTTATATTGTAGTCCTTGGCAGGGCTCAAATTGTCCAGCCTAGCCTGGATTCAAAACACACAGAGCCTGCAGGCCCTTCTGGAGTCTGGTTGAGCAACTATGGCCTTTTGTGGAGTTGAACCTCAGCTCTGTGGACCTATGGCAGTCCCCACATGTAAAGGACGGGGAGACGACACATCCAGGACCTTGAGCCCAGCACCGTGGGCACCTGTTCATACCTCAGTCCATTTCTCTAGCCAGAAATGCCCCCCAATTCCTGAGCGCATCTAAGGGGCGGCCTATGGGTATGGGGTGGAACTCCTGTGGACAGGAGGGGCCTTGAATCTGAGGGATAGCAGAGGTGATGGGGAGCCAAGTTTCTGAGGCCAGGTGAGGGTCTAGAAGGGCCCTATGGTCCCCCAAGGTCCAGTCCTTGTGGCCCCTTGGTCCAGTCCCTGGGGCCCCACCTCTGACTGCCCCCTCCCCCCTCGTCCAGTCCCTGTGTGAACCAGACCAGTCTTCACCTCCCACCCTGTGTAAACAGGGAACACTTTTTTCCCCCTAGTGGGGCAGGGCAGGGAGTGGAGGGACCAGGGTGCCTCCAGCAGGTCACAGCGCCGCCCTCTGAAGTCAGCCTGGGAAGCAGATCAGCTGTAGACTCTGGGCCAAAATCAAGCCCTGGGGACCAAAATGTATTTCTTTCTTGCCAAGAGGATTTGTGACTGCTCCTAGTGAAAGCCTGGGGACAATGGGATCATTATGGTCAAGATAAGCTGTCTATGCAGGGCTGTGCAGAGTGGTGAGCCAGGTGAAAGACATCCTGCCCTCAGGTCTGAACACAAAGCTCACCCAAAGCTGTCCCACAGCAGTGGAAAAAACAGGAAGTGAACATCCCCCTTCCAAACTGATGGAGATTGGCAGAAAAAGCTGGAGACCAGGGGGCATGCAGCAGGCCACTTAGTGACTGATGTCACAAGATCTCTACTCGGAAGAGTCTTCCCCCAGGGAGGGCTTTCACCTCGGAGAACCTTCAGGTATTTGCCACTGTGGAGCACAGTGATCCAACCCCAGTTCCCCAAGCCCAGCCCCCATCAGCAACCAGGTGCCTTAAGTGTGAGAGAGACATTGAGGGTCAGCAGCCTCGGGGCCTGGGGACGGGGAGCAGGCAGCTCAGTGTCAGAGACTGTGACCCTGCACCTTGTGTGGCCCCCACACTCCCAGGACAGAATGGGCCTGAGGGGTCACAAAGGCTGCTGGCACAAGGCCCTTTCAGACCCCTTCCAGCTGGCTTCTGCAGCCCTGGACAAACCCACTTCCTAAGGGCCCCCAGGCCTGCCCAGCACTAGCTGCTACCTCCTGCTCACTCCTGCCCATCCTCCTAGCCTCTGGTTCCATCCTGCCCCTTTCCTTTGGCAACTAGAGGTTGAGTGCAAGCTGCCCCAGGCCATGCTCCTGCATGGCTCTGGCTGCGGGGGATTTTCCACTTCACGTGCAGGCCCAGCTGCTAACACCGGCTGTTCAAATATTGGTGGGCGGGTTTCTCCCCTGTTTGATCAGCTCCCACCGACTGCAGTACCCAGAGAACAGGAGTCTGACTGAGGCTGCAGCTCAGATGCTGGGCTGCCTGCAGAGCGCTGGGATAGGGATGCCAGGCCCTGTCTGCTGCAGCCCCCCCCCCCCAATTCACTGAGAGCACAGGGGGGGGGAACCTAAAGGGCAGTAGTGACCAAGAACAGACATAACCAACGCCACTGTGTGGTGTGCCAGTCATGCCTTCGTGTCTGCTTCTCACCCTGTCAGGAATGGGCCAGCCCACCCATTCTACAGACAAGGAAACTGAGCTCCAAGAAGGGAATCCAGACACTGGCCACACTCCTGACACCCTACCACTGTGCCTCCTTCCGCAATTCACTTCTGAGCTAAGAAAATGGGCATGGCATATTGACTGCATGGAGGATCCAAAGTTGCCTTTGTTTGGTGGGCAGAACCTGTCCTGTCCAGTCTGGCTCTTCCTT